ATCTTTGGTTAATTGTTTGAATATATATATATATATATATATATTATATATATAGTCAATGATCGGTTTGTTGTCTTGAATAATCTCCCTTGAATCGATACTATTTTTTATCTAATTTTCTTTGTTTTTAATTTCTATTCATTTAGAATTTATTTTTATGTCAAGTAACTCTTAGATAAAAAAAAATCCTCCCTTGCTTTCTTTCTTTGGTTTACTATGATTTGATTAACTAGTCTCTGTGGATTCAATCCTTGCTCATCCTATCTATAGTTAGAAATAAAGAGTAAGATAAATTATTTTTGGTTGCATTCCGCATGCATCGACAACCCCAAGGCTTTGTAGACCCTCAATGCACAACTCATGTTTGTACACTCCATAGAGCATTATATGGTCTTTGCCAAGCTTCTCGAGCATGGTACAATGAATTTGGTTCCTTCTTTCTTGCCAATGGTTTCATCAATTCTAAAAGTGACACATCTCTATTCATCTACAATTATGGGCATCACACTATGCATTTACTTTTGTATGTGGATGATATTATCCTTACTAGCAATCATGCTCCCACCATTCATGATTTCACGACACGATTATCCAATCAATTTTCCCTCAAAGACCTTGGTAAGTTGAACTATTTTTTTAGGCATGAAAACAACACAATCCTCCAATGATCTCTTTATGTCTTATTAAAAAATATTTAGGATATTTTTTAGAAAACTAATATGCATAAAGCAAATGCGGTTAGCATACCCCTGTCATCTTTTGAAACAGATCACGATTGATAATGGTTCTCCTAGTCATGATCGGACTAAATATCATCAATTCCATAGTTCTCTTAATTATCTTTCTCTTATAAGGTTGGACATAAGTTTTTCGGTTAATAAACTAGAATAATTTATCCATGGACCATACTTTACTCATTGGAATGTAGTGAAAAGTCTCTTAAGGCATCTTAAAGTTACCTCCTATTATGGAATATTCATATCTCGCTCATTGATCTTTCTCTCTTCATGCATTTGCCAATGTCGATTGGGTTGGTGATCGAGATACTCGGCACTATACATATGTGTATGTTTTTTTTTCTTGGGTTTAATCTTGTTAGTTGGAGTTCCAAAAGCAATCCGCAATTGCTCGTTCCTCCACTAAGGTCAAATATAGAGCTATTGCTATTGCTATTGTTGAAGTGAACTAGATCACTAATCTTTTACAAGAAATTATTGTCTCTATTCTTGTTAGTAAGAGTTCCAAAAAGCAATATGTAATTGCTCGTTCCTCCACTAAAGTTGAATATAGAGCAATTGTTATTGGTGCTCGCTGATGTGAACTAGATAACTAATCTTTTAGAAAACTTGCTATCTCTATTCCAACTTCCCTAATCATTTATTGTGACAACGTTGGTGACACTTACTCGTGCTCTAAGCATGTCTTTCACTCACGAATGAAGCACATTGCCATTGACTTTCATTTCGTGCGAGATCAAATTGCTTGTAAATTGCTTCGAATATCTCATGTTCACACCAAAGATCAACTTACTAATTCTCTAACTAAGTCTTTAGCTCGAAAACAATTTTATCTTTATTAGTCCGTTCTTCCCGGATCCTAACTCTTGCAGAGGCATGATAAAGCACAAAATTAAAACATTCTATTTATAGAGAGTTTACTTTCTTTTGATTGTAATCTATATGTAATTTTGTTTGATCAAATTGAATTAGTTTCTTATTGTATAGCCATAATTAGCAAGAGTAATATTTCCCCCAACTATGTAATATATTGTAATCACAATTGTTAATGAAAATACAACAATTTTCATCAATTTTTTTTAAAAAAGAAAACGCCACTTGTAATTATTTCAAAATGCAATAGCAGGAAAAAAATAATAATAAAAATGCATGCAGTATCAAAATACAGACTGTGGTGATAAAGAAAATCTAAATTATAGACATATTTGTTTTAAAAAAGGAAGAACACATTGGCCTACAAACTACAGAACCTGTATAAAACTGGCAACCCATATACCTGATTCTTACTAGTTTCTGTTATGGATGGTATAATTCACCATACCGCTACACCTAATTCATCAGACCCACCTAGATATGGGCATTTTTTATAATCCAAAAATTATAGTCGTGTCTCATATAAAAGACAATTAATAACCCAATATCACATATAATTGTCAAATAATCCTCTCTCTTTCTTAAGTTTTCTATTTAAGGATGCAGCACTGAAGGTGCTAAGTACTATTCTGATGACATAAGATGCTTGTTTACACATTATATTATTTATCTTTCTTTTATTATTATATTCCATTCTTCTTCTTTTTCTTCTTTTCGTTCCTCCAATTTTAAGTGAGTCATGCTTATGTTTCTAATAAAATATATTGAGTGTGCTTAGTGCACAAGTTTGAGGATTTATAATATGCATGAATGTTTAGATGATTCCGAGTGGGTGCCACTTTTACAATAGTAGTGAGTAGTGATATTAAAAATTGATCCTTGACTGGCTAACAACCTCTTCCACTTCCAAAGCCTTGAGGATGAGCCCACTCTACTTGGATCGTTGAACTTGCCCATATTTGTTACTACTTCTTTCTCCAACTTCACCTAATATGTGACCCTCAATCTAAATTGGAATATTTGACACTATCCATTTAGTTACTAAGGGACCCATTTGAGTTCCTTTGTTCATGCATGCTCTAATAGACAAGCAAAACATTGGTCAAAAGGAGGTCAAAGAAGGCAATATTTTTTGAGTGGAGAAGAGAAACAAAAGTGGCTTTAAAGCTTCAATTTTTCATACATTATACGCTCTTATCGTATTGGAGATGTAGGAGAACCCACATTGCCCATCCTCTTCTGAGCATGCCCTGGCCCATTTAAGCTGTCTTCCGTTGCCTCTCATTTTTGTTGGGTGCAATGCATCTATCTGCCTTCACTTCCTTTTCAATATGTGAACTCTAAAATACAAACAACAACATAAAATCCCAAAAAACTTCTCATCTCCAATCATTCACTTAATGAATTGGCAACATCCTTGAGATTTTAAGTTACAATTTAATTTTGTGGGATCCATATTTTTTTTTCTTTTGATTGATCCTTTAGATTCGACAAATGACATGTCGTTACAAAAATTTGTCGCCAATTGTTCTTACGCGTATTTGCATCATCGACCTTTGGTCTCTTGTGAGATGTAACTCTTAATTTGTTTGTACCAAAATTGAATAGCAAACTTATGGTTTTACAGACAGATAGAATTTTCCTACAAGTAGATGCCAATAATTTATGTGTTACTTACCCGACACAACATGGGGCTACAATTTTATAGAAATTTGTCTTTACAAGCACCCTATTGTACAGTTAGAATTATTGTACATTAGGCTGTGTTCCAATAAAGAGAAAAGTCTCACTGTTCATTAGGTTCAGATTACATTCCTAAATTTTCTGAATGATTTAGATTCTGGTAAAGGAACAGAAACCCCTTATACAACCAAAGAATCCTTTATTGAATTGACGTAGTTCCATTATGTTTCATGTTTTTTTCTCTGGTCGACAAGAAGGCAAAGTAAAAAAAAAAAAAAAAAAAAGAAAAGAAGAAGAAGAAGCTTATACTGTGCTACCAGAGACTGCAACACTCTCCTATCTCCATTTCATCCTTGGAAAGAAAGTATGATGTACAGACATAGGTAAAAACTAGACAAACGTTTTTTTTTTTTTTTTTGGGGATTCGATTTGATATTAGACTCGATAGATTTTGGACTATACTATAAAGGATATGCCACCTACGATCACTTCCAACTCTATTCTTTCTAGAGTTTTAACTTGAGATATACTCATAATCTAAAATGTTAATTCAATGTCTTTTCACCTTCAGTCACATGCCGGGACCAGGCATTATATCTTTCATTAGATAAGAAAGTACCTGATATCCTTGATGTATCGACCATCATGACATCAATTTCAATTAGCCTCACCAGGACTATCAAGTATTTATGAGCTAATCACCTTCAATGCCGACATCAATAAATGATTATTGCCTTATTGCTTCAAAGTCTAAATCAAAATTGGTCATATTGCATCCGCTTTGCGGTAATGACATACATTCAACGCAACCAATTCAAGTCTAATCAACTTGATTTATGTTTAATCCTGCTTTGGATGGTATGGGACAACTAATAAATTTATGTTATGATCAGATTAGCCACCAATGTTTAAGCAAAGTCGTTAGTTAATTTGATGACCGAGTGCCAGTACTACCTATGTTGCCTAGTTTGTTTTTTTTTTTTTTTCTTCAGAGGTTAGACTCCATGCTTGATGGGAGATGGTTATTAATGAAGACTTTCTTAAATTCTATTCGACTTCGTATATCAATAAAAATGAATGTAACTAATAAACTTTAATGAATTTTACACAAATATAAATGATTCAAAATTTACATAATTAATATTACAAACTTCTATCATTGTATTTATTCATAACAAATTCGATAACTTTGTAGTCGTCTTATTAAGAGTTATATATATATATATATAACTCTTAAGTGATACTTTGTATGTAATTAATTAGAAGAGAAAATGAGAATGATAGAATTCGAACTCACAATTGTTTAATCATCAAGGTTCGATATTATGTTAAAAAGTCATTTCATCCAAAAACTTAAATTATTAAGTTAAACCTTAGAATATAATTTATATTATTTTCTACCTTAAGAAGAAGAAAAAAGCATCAAGCTACCACGTTTAGATCCACACGAGAGATTTGCAAAATCAAAGAAATTCAAGCCAAGCTGAGGAGAAGAACGAGTCAAGGAAGGCTTCTGTCGATAAAACTGTATTCCCACTTAAGTTTGAGTCATATTGAACAATTATACAAACATTGCCACTTTGTGCTTGGTATATAGAATGGAGTGGGATCTAATTTTGATATATTGGAAGTTAAAAAATATTTGGGAAATATAGATCGCATCTTCAGGTGCTGTACGGCAATAAGAGTAACATCCAAGAATCAAAGTCAAAGCGGCCATGCTGAGTGGAAGCTGTGAGTCAGTCCTCCGGATCCTTCTCTCATGGCTCTTTGTAACTCTTTAGCCTCTTGTGCTTTTTCCCTCTGAAATTTTTTATAACAATTTAACTATGAAGAAAAAAGAAAAGAAGAAGGAAAAAAAAACGTAACATATGTTACATTATAGGCTTAAGAAGACAAAAATAAAATATTCATGCACCTGCATTGTTTGAATAGCATCTGTTTCTGCATTGAAGTCATAAAATCTGCTGGCTGCTGTGAGCTTCATAGATAGAAACTGAGTTCAAAAACCAAGAGAAGAAATTTGTCAATGTCAAGGACAATAAAGGCACATTTTCAAATTAGCATATGTTTTGCAAAACTTTGAAATATCAACTCACCTCAACTTGATTTTGCAAGGACTGGACATAATTAATTATCTCATCCAGCATTACTGCCATGCCCATGGTCTGTAAATGACCAACACAATATATAAAATTAGCCAAAAAAAAAAAAAAATTTCAACTGGAGATAATAGCAGTAATTGCAGACATTGGCCATGGTTTAATTTCCTTCATACCTTGTAGCAGCCAGGGACTATATCTTGCAAGCATCTTAATCTCTCATTTATTTTTCCCCTTCTAACCTGTGGTACATCAAGCAAATCCATCAATTCCCATATGGTCAATATAAACGAATTATCTAATTTGTGATCAATTTTGAGCATTTGAAAAGTTTGTAAATGTACCCTTTCGGCTAAACTATGGCTATCAGTGGCTTGACCTCTTCTAGCTCTAACATGAACAACTTCTTTTGGTTTCTCCTCATCCTCATTGCTTTTCACTATCTTTCCTCTTCTTGCGCTCTGTAATCACAAAAAATGGAATGAACTCATAAGGCTTCGTTATCCAACAAATAAACAAAACGCGAACAAGAATTAGAAAGGAAGAAAGTGAAGAGATCATTTGATTATTACATTTCTCTTTTTACTCCCACTTTCAGAAACTTGAGGAGATGAGTTCATAGAACTGCTTTCAGACACATCCATTGCTTTTCTCTTCTTGCTTTCTTGGAATTCACTTTCGTTTCCAGGTGTGGTAAAAGGCTGAGAAACTGGCACAACATTTTGGTCATTTTGATGGAAAATACCAGGAAAACTTTCAGCTAAGTTTCCTGGGAATTCAGGTGCTTGATGGCTAAAGAAGTTGTCACTAGTGAAAGGCATGAAGCTGTGAAAATTATTCATGCTTGGATTGACTAGCTCGATACCTTGGTTTACTTCTGTGAATTGGTTTATTGCTACCATGCTTGGATCAATATCTAAGAAAGGAAACGGGGGCCTAAAGCTATGCAAATCTGACGTGAAATCAGCCATCAGAATTTTTTAATTATTATGAAGCTTAGTACTCTTAGGGAGAGCTAAATGGTTGGTTTGGATAATGTGTCAGGCTTGTATTTATAGTGTGGGATTAGACTTTAGAGACTGCTGCTTCTATGCGTTGGTAATCCATTTTTTTTTTACCTACTCTTTTTAAATTTCTTAATTAAAAATAAAAAAATAAAAGAAGAGAAGCAGTTTGAGGGGCCACGTGGCAAGTCCAGCTTCTTTGGTTGTGTTTCCTGAGTGGGTCCCATATTCAGGAGATATATATCCAATAATAATATGGGTCCATGACTAGCTTTTGGCCCCCAAGGGGAAGTATATGAAAAAGTTCAGCTCATCAAAATATTTTTAACCTTTATATATATATAATTTATTTGGAGCTCAGCTCATCAAAAGTTTTGTAAAGGAAAGACTGGATAATGACATGAACTTTGTGAGAAAGCCTTGACTACTCTCTTATCTTTTTTTCTATAGACAAATCAATATAATTTAATATGACATACAATTATTTGTTCATGTATAAAATCCATCATGGCCCATATTGATAGTTTCATATATATATATATATATATATATATATATATTCTCATTTTCTTTTCTTTTCTTTTAATTTTCCTTTTATATTAGCTTGCACCTGGGCATAAAATGGGCATATCAAGCCGGTGATGTTCCTTAGTGGTTTATGCAGATATGGCACATCAGAAGACCAACCTGCTCAATTATCTTACAATTTTTCATTTCAAGGTGACAAACTTCCACTAGTCTATTTTTTTCCCATTACATAGAAACGATGAACTGAACTAAAGATTTTTCATATCAATGATTCAACTCTTTCCACCTCCTTGCATAAGATTTCACCTGTTAAGCCTACACCTAGCTAGCTAGCTAGGTTTAGATTATTAGGATTCAAGAGAAAGAAGAGAGTAGAATTAATTAATTTTGAGTTCTCATCACATGTGGGATGTGTGTTTGGCATGTGGACATGTAGTTAATTGCGTGCTGTAAATGGTTAGATTCCTACGGCTACCAGAATCAATCAAAATATATTGGTAACCAAGGATTTCCTTTCTTCTTCGAAACCCTAACCCAAAATAGATTTGGTTTGACGTTTTCTTAGCTCTATAACGAAAATGGAACTTTCTTATTCTAGAAATGGTTCATTGATTTCATTTACAAATTTCCAACCTTTTAAAGGCTAAAGTTTGACAATTGAGTAAGACCTAACTCATTCAATGACCCACGCCGAAGTTATTTTTGGTCAAGCCATCGAAAAGGATGAATCTATCTTTGTGATAAGGATTGAAGAATAGCAGAATTGGTTATGGCATGCATGTCTTAGAATAGATCAAGAGAAAAACGTATTATCCATAAATTTCGAGGTCTATTGCTTTCGAAAATATTGAAATTTATGGATAACATTTTTGCCTCCAGTGACTGGATACAGCTCGAGTAAAAATCCTTTCTCCCCACTCTTCCTTGCCTGTCACTATATAATCAAAATACCCTTAAAAAATATGTAAGAAGCGTGAAATTTGATTGTGAGAAAGAAAGCACGTTAGAACTTTAGTTTAGTTTTAGTTTGTTTTAGATTATTTTGAGAAAAAAGGCTCTCGAATACTAGTTAATGTAGATTTGATTAAATGAATGCTACAAGTACAAATTAAAAAAAAAAAAAAAGGATTAAAACTTGTTATGCGAAAAAAAGAGATTACTAAAAAAAACTTCAAATTAAAAAGATTCAAAATCTTGAAATTAATATTTGAAATTGGAAAATGGAAAAGATGTATAAAATTAAGTCTGAAATAAAATGAAAAAGGGATTAAATGAAATTGTTTTTTTTTTTTAATTTAAAAAACAAAGAATTGAAAACGAATTGATTCATGTCTCTTTATAATTAGGAAATGTGAATCTTCATATTGTATTTCTTATTTTTACAATTTTTTATTTTAATATGTACATGTTCTATTTGTTTAGCCTCTTGTAAGGAGCATCCAAGGTATAAAGATAAATCAATCTATTAATCCTGAAAACAAAAATCAATGTATTCCATAAAAACAAAAATATATTGCATTTAGGTTTCTTTTGAATTCAAATTAAAAATTAAAGATTAAATATTAAGATGTCTTTCAAATACAAGGAATGAAATATCTCGAATGAAAATAAAAAAATCAGAATAACATTTTAATTTAAATACTATGTTTGGAATATTAACAATAAATTAAAAGTAATTATTATGTAATAAATAGTAATTAACATATCATTCTTAGAAGAAAAACAATCTCATTCTTATTTTTTGTTTTTACTCTCATCTCATGTCATGATACAAAAATTTTATTTAAAATTTTATTTCTATTCAAATCTTCATTCTTATTTCTATACCATAACTTTTTATCGAACATTTTTAAACTCTGAATAAAATTTTTATTTTTATTCTCATAATTTTATTTTTTATTATTCAATAGCACCTAAGAAGTTAACTATAAATTATAAAATTGTGTTCTAGAATCAAAAGTATTAAAGATGTTCGGCAGATGTACTAAAATTATGTAATAATTAGATTTAAAGTATTCTATATATGATAAAGCGAAGCTTATTCCTCTGCTATGGTTGGCTTCTTTGAGTGTTATGCAATTAGGTTGGGAATTGACTTAAAGGTATATATATTGAGAAGGCTTGCTACATGCTCATTGGCAATCTTGAACTCGGAGCTTTTTCCTCTTGCCTACATGCCTACCTCAGCTGATTTAAGAAACATCCGTATATGTGCACCCATACTGTGTCCGAATTCAAATCTCTTACCATTGATATGTTGAAAAACAAAGATGTAAAAGATTTCATGCCAACACCTACAAAAGTGAGGAAGCCCCATATTAATTTCAATATTGTATCACACCTAAGCTAGGGTTATACTACGAAACAGTAATGGAGCTTTCACGAAAATTTTGTTTTCTTACGTGGATAAATTACAAAACCTCCTTAAATTATTATAAAATTACAGTAATCATTTAAAAGTTTGAAAAATATTATAAAATCTCTCATTAGATTTGAGTAGATATTAAAAAAAACTCCTTTTATATCTAAAATATCCTTAATATCTTTCAATCATTCACTATTTAAAAAAAAAAAAAACCCTAAATAGTGATGGATAAATCAACGACGGACATAAAATTGTCAAGCATACAACGATAGATTAACAAATGAGTAATGACCGTTATCAATTTTTTGACATTTTGAATTAATAGCGACGAATACCGATCGATTAACTATAGAATTTCAACAATGAAACACTATCATTGTTGACTTAAGTGATAAATTTTTTGGCCGATAATTCAAGGATGAAATATTGACTAAGTTGCGAGGGAATTTAGCGACGGATGGTGTTGTCCATTGCTAATTTTTGGGCGGGATATGAGGAGATGATTTAATAAATGGACTAAGTCATTGTTAAAAAAAAAGCAAAAAATTCAATGATTGAAACATATCTTTAGCGAAAAAATTATGTCCGTCGCAAATTATAGGGAAAATTTGGACAATTTAAAAAATTAAACAAGTGATCGATACTTATTTTTAGCAACAAAATAACGTGTGTCGCTAAAAAATCATTAAATCTAGCAAAACCCTTTTTCTTCCTCCATTTTGCTCTCCTCAATCCCTCGCTTGTCACTACCACTCTTCCTCTCTCGTCTTTGCCGACACAAACCTTTCGATTGCTACACTCCATCCTCTCGTCACAAAAAAGTCCAACCATATGAACCCCAATCAAACCTTAAAAACACCTTAGACCTCACTACCGTGCAAACCCCAACCACACCTAGGAAAACCTAATCGTCTCTTGCTGATTTCGAGTGTCACCGTCATTCACTCTAGGAAGCCTTGCAGCTATAGACCTTGAGAGGCGTTCTAGTTGTCACCACCTCACAAATTCTAGTTGTTCCTCTCTCCCGCCGTTAACAACCTCTTTCTCTTCAAAAAAGGTAAGTTTCTTTTTTTTTTCTTTTATCTATTTGATTTGTAACTGATTTTTATATACGTTAATTGTTAGTAAATATTTTTAAAAACTCAAATTTAAGTTATTTGAAATTTAATTGAGTATATATTTTTTTTATTAGAATTGTTTTGAATTTGAATTAATTAGGTTTGGTTGTTGATAAATAGGATAAAATTTTGAGTTTGTAATTTGTTATATAATTGATTGATAGATTCTTATTTATGTTGGTATTTGATGGATTTTAGTTTAGGTTGTTGTTACAAAGATTAAAAATAAAGGTATTGAATTCGATAATTAAGTTATTAAAAAGAAAATAGAGTGTTAAATTTTAAAATTAAGGAATTATTTTAAAATTGACATAATATAAGATTATTTAAACTTAGGATTTTAAAATTGATAAATTATTTTTTGGTCAAATTTGTATGATATAGATAAATATTTAGTTGTTTTATGAATTATGATATTAATTATTTATATACAAATTTATTTTAGCCAATGAGTTTGCCACTACCGATCTATAGCATTACCAATAGTCACTCCTACTATTCCAAGCATTGCTAGCGACCACCACAACCATGCTTAAGCCACCACAGAATTTTCCAGCCCCCTAACTCACTAGTTAAGTAATCAAAACGCCACTTTATAATTTATGTCATAGAATAATTTTAACTTGATCGTGCCGATTGAAATTGAATTTATTTTATTGATGATTGTTGGAGTGTGCCGAGATACATCATATTGTATCTAATCTAAGGGGTTCAAGACCCTAAAAATTGAGAAGAAATAAGGTGGTATCAATGCTCGCGATGAAGCTAGGATGGCAAGGATTGAGTTTTAATTTAAATAAATTATCTAAAGTAAATGTCAACCTCGGTGTGCATAAATTGATTGATTTATTAAATTGTAGTATTAGAGATGTTTTTTATTTATTAAACTAATGTAATATAGATGTTTTTTATTTGTTGTATTTATTATAATGAGGTAATAAAGATGTTTTTTATTTGGTATATTTATTATAATGAAGTACTAGAGGTGTTTTCTTTTATAATTAAAATGAGGTAATATTATTGCTACTTGATATTTATGGGACTTCAAAAATTTTATGGAGTAAGGGAAAAAGAATTAAAAAAATATTTTGAAATTGCCACCTAGTATTGACGAGAACTAAAACACCTAAAGAAAGACACCTGGATTTAGAGATTATGAGTAAGGAGTTGGTTATGTTTTTGGAAAGATAGCTAGCACCCGAAGGCATCATTTCTTAAAAAAAAAAAAAAAGTAACCGATATAGTCTAATCCTAAAAGTATCTCCTAAAATTCATGTTTGCCAAATTGTTTTATAAGTCTATTTCTAAGTCTACTTATCATCCAAGTCAAATAATTTTTTTTTTTATTGTGGAATCATAGTAAATTAATGTTAAATCCTAAAATTAGAAGTCTCATCAATTTAGTTTTGGATCTAATTACGTCCTAACACAACCGACACATTAAGAAATGACCTAATTAGCTAAGAATGTTAGGTTGACTTATATCTATCCTAATTAATCTTCTTCCTTTTGTTTCTTTTTGATAATTATTTTTTAATAAGATATCAAAACCAACATTGGTCCCTATTTAAAATAGGAGATTCGTTAGCTCGACTTAATTTTCCTAATTATCCTAATAATACATGTTATTTTCTAATTATAAACTAAATTTGATTTGAGATCATCATCAATTCCTAGAACTTAGGAGACGCAACGACTTCACGACTAGTATGATGTTCTTCATTAAACACTCAACATGAAATAAATCACCATACCCATGTCATCAAAGAAAAAATATCAAAATAAATTCTAAGCGGAATCCAAAATTAGTAAAACATTTAAAAGAACTTTTAAAATATATGTACACATCTTCTAAAAATTTCAAGCAAAGATTATATTGAAAATAGGCTCAAATAATTTAATTTCCAAAACATTCCCTCAATGGTAAATAAATTAACAACATAATAAAAAAATGGTCTTTCCTTGTCATCGTATTCATCTTGTGGTAGTCTATACACATCTTCTAACCACTTATAGCTCTAGTTAGAATAAACTCATTGTCTTGATTTTGAACTAATATTACCCTAGAATGTTTCGACACCACTTGAACTAAACTTACCCATTTGCTATCCGAGATAGGATAAATGATTCTTGCATCCAAGCAAATTCAGATTCTCCTTCTTTACCACCTTTATCATTTGAGGATTCATTCTCTTTTAGGCCTTTCGGCTTGGTTTGAACCTATCTTCCAATAAGATTCGATGCTTGCACATTCAAGGACTTATGTCTTTGATGCAAGTTACAGTCCAACCTATTGCTGTTTTGTACCACTCTCAAAATCTTATCTTTTTGCACAAGTGTCAAGTTCCTAGCAATAATGATTGGTAATGTCTTATTTTTTTCTAAGTAGACATATTTCAAGTGGTTAGGAAGAGGTTTTAGCTCTAAAACCGATGCTTGCATCATAGAAGG